CTGCTGGCAGGCTGAGTACACTGATGAATCAATGTGATGAGCTAATTATTAATCCCAGTGTTACTGAACTCTGCAAAAGCCCGAGCAGACTGATAAATCACTGTGATGAGGTTACTGAGCTCTGCTAAAGCCTGAGTAGACTGATAAATCACTGTGATGAGGTTACTGAGCTCTGCTAAAGCCTGAGTAGACTGATAAATCACTGCGATGAGGTTACTGAGCTCTGCTAAAGCCTGAGTAGACTGATAAATCACTGTGATTAGTCAGATATTAATCTCAGTGTTATTAAGCCCTTTTAGAGATGATCAAACTGAACAATCTCCTCAGTAGCTGACATGTGATAAGCTTAGCATGTACTGGATTCCTGCTAGGGAGATTATGGGAGTAGCAGTGGACTGAAGCAGTTAATGAATTTATTCAAAATATAAACAGAAGAATTCATGAACAAAACCAGTAATAGTGAGGAACAGTGTGACTTATTCTAAATATTCTAAATGTATTCTGAATACATTATTTTCTTAACAGAATATGCCACTGTTTAAAGCCTCTTCAAACATCGACTACCAGTTAATAATCAATAATGTGGAGGTAGGAGACTCTGCAGTGTATTACTGTGGAACATAGGATGACTCTACTGAACAGGTCATATTACAGTGACAGAGATGATGACAAAAAGCTCCTCACTGCTCACATTCACTTCTCCATTTCATTCAGCTCATTTCTCACTTGGAGCAGAAAAGCTGAGTTAATAGCTGCAGTTCTCTTGAGCAGGATGTGTGAAGAAATCACAGGATAACAGAGATGTGGAATTCACAGAGACTGGAATGGGATGTGTAAGGACTCAGTGCTGATCATAGACAGTAGAAGAGAGAGCTGAAGTGTAGAGGATGTTTCAGTTCCGCTACTTTCACTTCTGAAACTGAGGATGTTTTTGTACGGGTGAGGATATGAAATGAAGCGCTGTGGTATTCGGCCAAGGAACAAAGCTAAATGTCATCGGTAAGTGTTTATGTCTGTTTGTCTTTTTATTAAAACCATTTTATTTTAAAAATTTAGTCTTGATTGTCTTGTTCTGTTGGCACATTTTTCTTAGTTTGTATGATATATTGGTATCTCCATTTAATATTTAAATGTTAAATACCTAAAGCCTTGCTTATCCAATCTGAGAAATTGCCTTTCAGATTAAAATGAAACATGTTTTGTCAAAAAACAAGGTTTAAACTTAACACTACGACTGTCATTGTCCAAGCTGTGTGGTGTAAACAGGGTTAAGCAGTTTCTGTAATTAAACCAAAGTTTTTAAAGATATGTGTTTTGAGCTAAAGTTAACAGAAGTATTTGAAAAAAATGTATTAACCATTCCTCGGTTTTTGTTTGCATTTTCAGTAATTTTGTTTTCTATTTTATTTTGTACAACATTTTGCATTAAAAGCCAAACTATGCAAACTTTGCATTTTACTGACCCCTTTATTTTAAATACAGGACATCAAACAATGACATACTACACGTATATGGTTTTTACAAAAAATGTCACATATACTCTTTATTGTTGCGAGGGCTCAACTGTAATATAACCATCACCTTATTTCTTGTTTTTTCTGTATTTCATTTATTTTCTTCTTTGTAGACTTTCCTCTCACGTCTCCTGCTCTCAGCCTCCTTCCTCCATCCCCAGAGGAGCTGCAGCAGGGCAGAGCCACCCTGCTGTGTTTGGCTGAGGAGTTGACTGTGCCTCTGGTGCAGGTCAGCTGGGCAGTGAATGGGACTTCAGTCACGGATGGAGTCGCCACCAGCCCTCCGGTCCAGCAGCCGGACAAAACCTTGAGAGTGAGCAGCTCTATGACCGTTAGCGCATCCATGTGGAAAAGCAATGTGAATTTCATGTGCGAAGTGTCAGTTGGTTCAAAAGCCTCAAAGAAAATAATGAAGCAGTCTGAGTGTTTCTGATTGTTATCTGTGCACTTTACCTGTGGGCTCAGTATTGTTTACATATCTAGTTGTCCTTTGAATGGCACTCCTTTTAGCATTGAATTACTGCTTAAACATACTGCCTGAAATTTAATGCTTTGGTTTGTTTTGTTTCTGCAATAAAGAGCTTTGGCATCTGATGCAAGACTTTTTTGTATAGGTTACTATAGTTGAGGACATAAATGGCAAAGCAACAATGAAATTTAGTACCATACAGATTGAAGTAGTTTTTTTAAACAGAGCGAACATGGTAAAGAGTTTTCTTAGTAAAATCAGTAGTCAGTTTTTATCTCTGTGTATGCTTGGTTAGGTATGTTATCTGCTTTCAGTCAGGATGCATCTGCTAGACATCAGTCTGTATTTTTAGCTGTATGTGAAAGGGGAATTCCACTGACTTCAATAATTGAGATGTAAACAAGTCAATGAGAGTGGTTTATGTGAATTGGTGCATTGTAGACAAACTTACCACTTAACACTTTACAATGTTGGTAATAGGATTGGGGGTTGCGATACCCACAGCTGAAATCTAGACATTTTATTTGCTATCCAAAATGACCAATAAGACTACATGGCTTCTACATTTTTACATTTTTCATAATGATAGCATAGCGTTAAATCCAAGAAAAATTATAAAAAATAGGTTTTTAAAAATACTCTGCAGGCCAAAACCTTATTTCAAAATGATCACAAAACATCAGCCACTGTATTCACAACCATTTCGTGTAATAGCCTTCTCTGGGGTAGCCTTGGAGGCGTTAAAGCTTCAGACATCAGATTCTTATTACCATCATTGTGAGCAATTCTGACTGATTATGATAAATTGGTGGAGTTACCCTTTAAGATGCTTTTCTAACACCCTCTCAGGGGCTCATCCCCTTAGTTAATACACCTGTCCTTGTTTGAGGATGATCGTTATGTTAAAAATAACTATTATGTAACATTAACGTACTGCATCTAGTTTACTGTAGAGCTTAAATGATATGGTAGGTCAGATGAAAGGCATACAGTAGGTTATCTGAATGAATTAAATGTATAGTATAATAGAAAATGCAAAGTGAAAACATACCATGTGATATTAATCAAAGTCAGTAGTCAGTATTTCCATAAGAAATGGGTTTCTGCAACCCATATGAGGTAATTTATGAGCAAGGGGGAGCCTAGAGGTGGGAGGAGTTTAGAAAAAATAAAATAAATATACAATTTAAATTAAAAAGTATTTAAAAGATACTGCAAGAATATACTATGGATTCTGTGACAGTATGTTTTATATATATATATATATATATATATATATATATATATATATATATATATATATACACATATATATATATATGCCTAAAGTGTTGTGGTTTGGCTGAAAAGTAGTTCAACACATTTGTGTAAATTGTTTCTATAAAACATTACATTAGCTAAGCTAACATAGAGAATTTTCAACTTCATGCATTGATGTAACTACAGCATTTCTTCTCGGAAATTTACTTACACCAACAAACTTGAGCCAACCAACTAGCTTAGTTGTTGCTTGTAACTTGTAGCTCGCTAGCCTGTTGGCCAACCTTCGCCCAAGCAGAGGCTGATAAGCTGACAGAACTTGAAATGTGGGGCTGTTCGATTCCAGACATTTTGGAGTCGACTCCGATTCCGATTCCAAGTGACGGGAATCGGTACAGTTTACTTTGTTGAACCACTTTGTGGAAAGATGCATTTTTCAGATAGGCTGTGTAGACAGTCACAGCAGAATACTCTCCCTGTGCGCATACAGGCGCAGACAAACTTAAACATTACTGTGTGAAATCGAGTTCAATCTTGAGTCGACTCTCGATTCCAGCTATTCCGGAATCGAGAGTCGACTCCAAAGATTTGGAGTTATATAGGAATCTTTATTTTTATCGACTCTCAGCTGCTGAGGAGCTAACAGAACTTTGAAGAGTGATAGTGCTGGGTAAGAAAAAGTCCGGATTCCAAAAAAGACATGAAAAGAAGGAGAACGAGGTGAACAAGGCTAGGAGCAAATCAAGGGCACACAAAAGAAAGGTGAGTTTTTTCAGCTGTTTTAGCTAAAAACATTGCAGGCAGCTTGAGACGTTAGCTAACTAGTTAGATAGCAAACGTCCCCGAAATCTGTTTTAATTGGCCATGAAAGCAAAAAATTAATACAGACATAACGCAGAGTTGCCATTCCTTGAAAATCTCTCTTTGTTGAATAACGATAAATCACATTAAATCAAATTCTTTGGGAAATGGAATTGGGAGATTTTAGTTAGGAAAATATCTGTGGCTACCACTGAAAAAGAAATTTTAAGTTTAGTTAAGATGAAGTTTACAACGATACTCTATTTTATTTACTGTGAGTCTGCTGTATGTAACTAAAGCAAAGTGCAATGATGGCTGTAAAAGGTGTTTCTAAAAATGGCACGGCTGGGATTTTCTCTGTCTTTCGTATGGTTATAGTTTTTGCTCCTATATGTATTAACCACAATCGGAATACCAGGATGGTGGAGAGAGAGATTAGGTTGTCAGTGAATTATTTATTTGATACCAAATGTTGCAGTGTGGTATAACAGACCCTTTCCAGGCTGCTGCACGGGTCCCAAAGCCACAGGCACTGAAGTTTATATCCAGTAGATGGCAGCCTTACCTAAGCATGTGGAAACTGGTATTGCTTTCACTGTAACAATTTAGCAATATAAAATGCCTAGTCAGAAATAGTTAAAATGGCACCCTGAAAACAGTAGCAATGGATAAAATGTATGGTCATGCAAAAATAAATACAATAAAATAAGAAATACAAATAAATAATAATAAAATAATACAACCTTAATATATTAGTTCACTTAATTAAACAACACCTGAAAGGGATGGCATGCATGTGTATTTTTCATTGTCATTATCATTTCATAGGTTTTTTTAGAGCAGGTGTTTTGCATGCCAGTATGTCACAGAATCTGATTAATTTAGCAATGTAAGCCCTTAAAATAGTACACACAGTGTCATAAAATACAGCACAGTCACGTAAATAGTAAAAAGCATAGCAAGAACCGTCAAAATAGCACAATATAGTCTTAACCAAATGTGGTTTTATTAATGTAGGTTTGTTGATTCATAATGTTTTACTTAGAAATTCACAGTTGGTTGTGCATGAGAGAAAAGAAAGAGCGCAGAGCCTTAGCAGTACTCTTCACCCTGTGAGTCCAGTGCTGTGGGGACTGGAGAACAGAGTGGTTTGATGCCATTCACCGGCAAGTCAATGTGCAGGTCCGCAGGATCAGAGTCTGAGGTCAGATAAACGTCCCATAAGCCTTCAGGGATGTCCAGCTCTAGAAGCTTCTGCTTGATCCGTAGGTTTTTCTCGATATTCCGCCGCTTGAACTTGAACTGGATGATGGTCTTGGTGTAGTGGTTAAGGGCGGTGACAGCCGAGGCCATACAGGTAGCAAAGGAGGCCCAGGCCAAACTGAGGGAGAGAGGATTAACAAAGCAAACGTCAACCGTCCAACAGGATACTGGCTGGAGGCATTTTTATGCTCGCTGAATATTATAGAGTATGACAAATACATGCCGTTACTGTTGAAAAAATTATTTGCAATTTTCTGTTTTTTACTTTTTTGTTTATGCTATCTGGGAACCGCAGCTGTCCTTTACATTGTGTTAACATTTCATGAGGACTAACAGTTAACACTAACAAAATTACTGAAAATAATTAAAAATTACCCAAAAATAAAATGCTGTTACATCAAAGGGATCTTATGTCTGGTGTATTTTTTGCCTTATTTGTGTCTTGGGGTTTTTGTTTTATTTTTTCAGTAGCTGACGTGACATTTGCCTCCTGATTGCTGGCACCTGCTGGGAACCTATAAGACCTGGCCACACTATTCTCTTACAAAGCTCTCCCCTTTCCTTCTGCAGCAGCCAGGCCTCCAGCCACCACAACTCTCCTTTAGCTTTAAAATCCCTATTTATTTTAATGATTTTTTAAAATGTAACCTTAGTGTTTTGACCCTTTTGTCGCTTCCCTTGAACCAGGATTGTAACATAATGTGGACTTGTCTAGGATCTGAACCCAGGACCTCTTGCAGCTCAGGTAAGTATGAAAGCAGCTCAGGGAAAGATGAAATTTTGGTATGATAGAAAAGCTAAACAGCGAGTATTTGCCTCGGTGGCTCTGTCTTGCAGCCTTAGTTCAGTGGGCCATATGTGGTTGATCTTTGTATAGGTCAGTGTGTTTATCTAGTGAAGACTCTAAATTGTAAACGCAAGACCTTTATGTGCCATGTCAATTTGTTAAAACCCTACTATGTTCAAGGTAAGAGAGTGTCTGCAGAGGTTAAGCCTGTGGTAATATTTAATGTTCCATCTTTCTCAGCTGGTGAGAGTTTTGTAGAGCTCAAATCTGCAGTTCCAGTGGTTGCTAGTTTAGAGGTTTCTCAAAATGGACTTTCAAATTCTAAGATCTTGGCTAATTTAGACTCTTATTTGTCCTTCTCAGCATTCTGACGTTGTTCAGGTAATTCAACAGCATTTAGCTCTTTTCTCTAACATACCTGCACCATTGTACTTCAGCTTGATATTTATAGGGGAAATGCTTTTCCTATTAAACAACATCCATATAGGCTAAGTGCATTGACCAGGTTGGTTCTGCAGCCATTGTGACCAAGTTGGAGCTCTTAAAGTGCTACTGGCAAGTTCCATTAACCCAGCGTGCCTGTGAGATTTCAGCTTTTGTGACACCTTATGACCTTGGCCAGTATAAAGTCATGGCCTTTGCATCCGCTACATTCTGTCGTCTGGTAAATGTGCCGTTGAACGGGTATACAGGTTGTGAGGCTAAACTAGATAACCTGGTAATTTATAGCTCTACTTGGTCTCAGCACATAATCCAGCTTGAAGAGATATTTACAAGACTAGTTGCTGCAAACCTGACTGTGACCTCATCAGTGTGAGTTTGGCCAAGCCATCGTCATGTATTTGGGCAAAGTTGTTGTCCATGTTCAGGTCTGTCTCATAAGAGTCAAGGTATAAGCTATTGTTAATCTCACAGTTCTATCCACATGTAGAGTTAAAAACTTTCCTCAGGATGGCAGATTATTATAATGTTTTTGCAAACATTTTGCTTCTATTTCTATTCCCTTAACCAGCTTAGGTCTCTTTTGTTCGGACTGAGACTTGCCAATGGCCCTTAATCATAATCTCAAGGCATTATTAAGCAGTGCCCCAGTTTTGGCTGCTCCTGATTTTGGTATGATTTGATCCAGGTTGACTCTTTGGGGGTAGAGCCTCCTGTTTGCTACTTCTCTAAGAAGTTCGATTCACATGAGAAACATTACCATTGAAAGAGGCTTTAGCCCCTTTTTTTGCTTTGGTATGTTTCCTCTTCCTTTCCACTCATGGTATAGATCATAACCCTTTGGTTTTCTCCACAGCATGAAGAATGCTAACCAGCGGTTGATGCAGTGGAGTTTGTTTTTTACAGGGTTGTGACCTGAAATTTTGCCATGTTCATGAATGGGACAATGCAGACGCATTATCTAGGGCCCATGTGTCAAACACAGATCTGGCCCACGCCACAATCCCATCCAGCCTGCAAAAGTATTTTCATTATCTATTAATATTAGCCCGTTTCACAATGCGCTGCACTACAGGTCCCAGCATGTATTGCAACGTAATGTGTACTCTGACTATCCTACCCTAACAACAGTCTATGGGACAGTGGTTACACCTCAGTTCTACACAATTCTATGCAATTCCATGCCAGTCATATCACCAAGCGCATTAGCTGCATTTCAGCTGCAGTTCAACCAGCATAAACAACTAACGTTAGCTCAGCAGCTCAGAAACCGAGCCCAGGTATTAATGAACTTGCAGCAAAGAAAAGATGCCAGGTGTTTAGTTCAAGAAAATAGGTAGGTTTAAATGACCTCACTCCTGGGGACATTTAAATTTTAAATATTTTAAGTATTCATGTAATATTTCATGGTCTACTATCTACTAAGCGCCTATATTTTACTGCTGAAGTTTTTGTGTACTTTGGATAAACAATGGCCAGTTGGGGTTATAGCACAACATTAGCTAAAAATGAAATAAAAACATTTTTTTCTGGCCCACAGATTTGTTGTGATTTTTTAATATGGCCCCTTTAGTGGTTGAGTTTGACACCCCTGATCTAGGGTGTACATACCGAAGCTCTTTAGGGTTATGAGTAAACAAGGTTCCATTAGAGCAGCCTTGTAAGTGTGGGGGTGTTGTGTCTGGTGTGTTTTTTGCCTTGTTTGTGTCTTGGAATTCAGTAGCTCATGTGACACCTGCACTTTTCTCCTGATTGCTGGCACCTGCTGGGAACCTTTAAAACTTGTCCACACCCCTTTCTTAGAGAGCTCTCCCCTTTCCTCCTGCAGCAGCAGGGCCTCCAGCCACCACAACCCTTCTTTTACTTTAAAATTTCCTATTTACTTTAATGAACCTGTTTTCTGATTTGTAACTTCAGTGTTTTGACTCCTTTGTGTTGTTTCCCCTGAGCCAGGATCATAACAGGGATACTCTGGCCAAAATGAAAACTTTACCATTGCTATATCCAATGTAAACATGCCAACTTGTCTCTTACAGAAAGTGGGAGAAACTTTTCAAAAACTACTTTTGAAAGTGCTTTAAGGTGAATACATGAGGGTAGCTGTTGGATTTTTTATTGTTTATTGTTTTTGTTTTTTTTCCAATAGCTAGCTAATGCAGAAGAACATCTGATAGCTAACAATACTGCTGGAAAGCTGAATATCATATTACATCAGCTTCTATAGCTCCATGGGGGATTCTCAGTGGTTGTATGAGGCATTACTTGTGGGGGTATTGCAATTAAAGAATATATATATATATATATATTAGAATAAAAAATATCCTGTAAATTACTGTTTTGGAGACAATATAATCTTTCGTGACAGTATACTCTATTACCATGGAGCATTATTTATTGGCTGGGCTTTGCTTTTTTCCTAAGCAGACTGAGCAAAAGACTTGTTTGCCCCTGAGTTCTGAAGGATACCAAGTGTCAACGAATATCTTCGTCATAAACCAAACATGTTGAGCTGCAGGTCTATGTGTGTTTGCGACTCACAGATAGGACCAGCTGTAGTCCCAGGTTTTAGGTTTCCAGTCTTCTGGACCCATGATGACTGCAAGCTGGAAAGCTGTAGTGAACATCATATTTGCCACCATTCCAAAAAGGCCTGAGGTACAGAAACACAGATAATGCAATGGAGTGCAGAGCTTAAAACAACAGCAATCAAATATCCTCAATGTTCTTACACGACTAAGTGGTTCTAAATTTGTGTTTTGTTTTTTTTAAGAAGTAGTTTTACTCATTAGCCACTGAAAGATAATAATAATAAATAATAATATTTTTTTTACTTATATAGCACTTTTCATGCCAGTGGCCGCTCAAAGAACAGAAACGGTTGGAAAGTGCATGACTAGATCTACAGGCTTTAATATGCATATATACGTTTAATACACTGTATGTCCAAAAGTATTGAAAATAGAATAGGACACTGTGGAGCAGCTGTACATAAGCCGTATGTCACAATGCCCAATGCCAGGCATCAACAAGATCGGTATAAAATCCTGATGAAGTACCATCCAACGCCTTTGGGATGAGTTGGAGTGGCATTTGTGATCCAGAACTAATCAACCAACTAATCAACAAACATTACCTAACCTCACTAATGCTCTTTTGGCTGAAAGCAATCAGATCCTCACAGCAATGTTCCATCATCTAGTGTAAAGTCTTCCCAGAAGAGTGGACACTGCTACTGCAGCAAATGATGACAAACACCCTTTTAATACACTTGATTTCTAGGAGAAACATTGGATGAGAAGGTGTCTACAACCGTTTGCGCATATATGTTTTAAGCATACTAACAGGTTTCCCCTATGTATATACACCTGGGCTGTAAATCTCTGATCTCACAACGATTTGATTTGATTAGGATTCTTTAGAAAATGATTTTATGTATCATAAAATCTTAAATTTTGGTTTGATATGATTTAGAATAACTTTGAAAAATACCCTAAATGAATGATAAACTTGACTAGAGGAACTATGCAGGTAGTGTATAGTATAATCCAAAAACCACACATCATGTGTTTTGTATTTTTACATTTGAAAATTATGATTTTTGAGTGCTTTATTAGATGTTATTTTAATTATGTTATTAGAATTGATCGTAATGTTCCAAAATCAGTGTCGTTGAATAGTCACCTTAAGATGCATGTTTACTCCACTAATATATACGTACATTCTGGGACTCTCAGTGCCTGTGCTAGAGTATTCAGGATTAACAAGCCATGGGAGAGAGGCAGGGAGCGAGCGAGGGAGGAGGGGAAGAATTGAGACAGGGAGGGAGGAAGGGAAGGAGGGTGGTCTCTTCTGGGCTGGCAAAACCACTCCCCCCACTCCAATCCGATTACAGCACAAACCATGAAATCCCTGCGACTCTGGGGTGGATAGTAGATTCAGGCCAGAGACCATATTAGAGGCAGCACTACTCCTAGTCCCGGAAGTGCACTCCCTGCTTTAGAATTCTCTTCAGCTTTAGCTTTTTTATTTTTAAAAATTAGACTGTGTACAAATGCCGTTTCATGTATTAAAATAATCAGTCACCTAGAACATAAGCATTTCAAGTATGACTAATTAATTGTCCTAAGTCATCCATGGGACCTGTACACCTTAAATACACTTCTTTATTTTACATTTTCATTGTTTGTTTCTCACTTGCAGCCATTTGAAACCGGAGGAATTCTGTCGAAACTGGGGAATCTAAACTTTCCGTCAATACCAGCAGTGGAAAAGTAGATATTTTATTGTGATGTGAATTATGGCATTGAAAAAAAAAACACCTTTTACCTTTTATTTTTGTAAATTTTGTAATATTTTTGTAAACTTTGTCAAAAACAGAAAAAATAGCAAAAAGTACAGATTTGAATTTGTTGATACAGAATGTAACAAACTAACTTATCTAAATGACCTTGTAATTGCACATAAACTATTCAATGTCTTTTGTATAACAAAACGACAATAATAACTCCAGACCTGAGCTTTTAAACAGCTTTTAAAAATGACTTTCACCTTGCACAATCCCACCTATGAGTACTTCATAGATACATAGTCCAGCAATATCATGGGCCAGACATGGCCCTGTTCTGCCTGCCCTGTCGCTGCTGAATCAGGGAGTGCTTGCCACTGGCCCGGGTAACAGGATGGCATGCAGAGCAGCTGGACTGGACAGGCATTGCATAATCCCCTCTCTGTCTTCCAGCCGGAGCGGAGCTGGCAGGATTTCCTGCCCGCCATGTGAGCAGTGCAAGACAGTCTGTACTAAAGCCATAGGCATGCAGGAGTACACTGTCTGTCAAAAGTTTGGGGCACCTTGCCTTTTTGTTTTTTAATTTTCTGAGAAATGTTTGATTTTTACTGTTAATTTTGAACCCAAACAGACAGCAGTAAGGGGCGCTACTAACTTACTGGACTGTGTTTTTGTTATTATAGAGTTATAATTAAGTAGCATAGTGGCAAATGTTTTACACTAGTTGCTCATGCTGCCCTTAATGAGAGCCAGCTGATGCTGGTTTGGCATTGGCAGCACAGATTGAGGCTGCTTCCCATGGCTGTCATTGGTGCTTGGGGCTCAGGTGCTGGCCTCGTGCCGCCTATTATGCATCCTCTCATTAGCATATTTTAGCATAATGGACCGTTATAGGCTCATGCACATTCTTGACATACAAAATTAAGCTGCTAAATAACGCTCCCCTACATGCTTTTTCAGATGTTCTGAAAGAGCCTGTTTTCAATAGAAAACTGTGAACTGCACAATGGTACCACATTTGATATACAAATATCAGTCTGTATAACTATAATAAGCCATCAAAGAGGAATTAACCCTTTTGAAAACACAATTTTGAGTGGAAGAGGTATTTAAAAAGCAGTGCATTGTGTTATAGCCATGCAAGTGGAGAAAAGGAAGGTATTTATTTCTTTCAGTAATTATATGCCTCATGTGAACGCAGGCTTCATATGAATTAAAAAAAAAAATGCATGAGTGCAGTTTTTAGTTTTCATCACTGAAGTTCACTGAGGGCTACACTGGTTGCATGTTCTAAAATATGAGTGTATATATTATACATGCAGTCGTGATTCCAACTCCTCTGTGCCTGTAGCCCTCTTGCTTGTTTTTTCTCTCGTTCATAGAGCTTATGGATTCTTGTTACAGTGGAGGCTTTTGAGGGTAGCTTTCCATTCTGCTATTGCTTTTGTTAGTTTGCTGCTTGTTGATTTATCCATAGGTCTCCCACATACACTGTCCAGCATATTCACCACATCACTGGTGCATCTTCCTTGTAAATGATACTTCAGACTCAGTGCACTTCAGTGATAAATAAGAACACCATGGCATTAACTGACATTAACTTAAATAACATTTATCTAGAAATCAGTCAAGGGAACTAGAGGACTACACAGAGTCAAGGCAACAGTGCGCGAGCAGCTTGGATTTGCCTCCACAATTACAGGTCTGGAAGGTCAAATTATGAAAATGCATTAACAACATTAAAAATTAGTGGCATTTTAACTTTGACAGAACTAATTTATTCACATAAAATAGGTATTGACTAATACATTCGCTATATTTTTGCAATACTCAGCTTCATGTTAGAGAAGGCTTTGTGTAAAAAATAATTTCACAGCTTTACTTTCCAATCTATTGTTAAGAGCACATGTTGAAAATCTTTTGCCCCAGAGATGATTTAATAATCTGAATGGTTTCAGTGCTGACAATCGGCTATACCAAAAAACAGAGTAGAGTGAAGAGGTAATAGAGGGTAATGTATATACTACAAATGCAGGCATAGCAATACAGCTTATAGTAAATCGTTACATGGACCTATCGACTGTTTAGCTGATGCTGTCAGAAAACATACCTTTAGTATCTAAGACTGCTTGCTTTTAATAATATTTGTGATAACCACAAAAGAAAATTAGCTTAATGGATGGTATTTACAAATTTCTAAAATGAATTAATTTTCATGGCCAATTTTATAAAAATTAAAAAGCCTTGATAACCATTGTTGATATTTACTCTTAACATGGACCTTTACCTGAGAGTGCAGTGAACAGGGCTGCAAAGGCGTTCAGCTTGAGTCTGTTCATCATATTACAACAGTGGCACATCTCCACCGCCATGAGCATGCCTCCAGTGAAGAGCAGAGAGATGTACAGACACTCACCAACAATGCACAACCATAGCACCCCTGAGAGAGAGAGAGAGAGAGAGAGAGAGAGAGAGAATATAAGCACCATATGCAAGTTTTACATTGATGGAAAGATAGATATATTATTAGAGAAGAAAAGTAAATCAGGAAGGGATTGGGAAGAGGCTGTACTACAAAATAAGAAGGAAAAAAATAACAAAAATGAAGGAAAGGGAACGGTGATAGTGGAGTAGGAACCAAATCAGCAGAGGTGGGTGTAATCTCCTTTGGCCATGCAGTAATACCTTTCCCCCTGCAGGAAGCCAGATCAGTTCCTAAAGCCAAACCTTCCCAGCACAATACTGCTGCCATTACATGCACTAATACTGATACTGTTGGACCACTGTACATCAACCTTAAGCCAACTAACAGTCTAGGGCAGAAAGATCTTAAACATGTCTTCAAAGCATTAAAAGTTGAGGAAAAGGCTCAATATCATTTCACATTAAAATCAGACAATAGCTGCACGATTTAAAAAGCAGACAGCTTATACTACAAACCTGTGAACACAAACACAAACACCATCATGAAAAGGAAACATAGGTTCTTGACAAACAAAGAAACAAATCCACATATATGAGCTCTCATCTTTTATGAATACATTTTACTCATTTGTTCAAAGGAGTATTTTACATAATCCAGAGCTCATAAACATCATATGGCATTAAGAGGACGCGTATTTACTATGTTTAAGGTACAGTATTAGAATTGAAACAAATTATATATAGAAAATATGCATACCTGGAATCACTGTGGAAAGAAACGCATTTCTAATGTTACATTTGAAATTCAATTTTGCTCTAATCAACCAATCCAATCAACCATACCTTATACCTGAAAGCATACCTAAAAATAACTACTTCCTAACGATATCCCAGCTGGCAATTAAAGCAAAGAAGTCAAATAAGTAATGAAGTAATAACATGTGCATGTGTTCTAGGCATAATTGTTAGTATTGTTATTATATAGAGTGACACTATTGTAACTATTACTTACCCACCTCTTTCATGATCTGGTGTGATCTCTAGGAATTCTCTACAGGTAAATCCTGTGAACAGAGGAAAACTGTGTTTCATTTCCATCTTCTTTCATCAACATGAAATGCATATACTTTTTCGACATGGCATGATTCATCAAAATGATGTTTTCTGATCAGCAGATGCAATTAGAGTGCTTAAATGAAACATTAAATGTTCTTCCTTTCAGATTCAGGTAACGCATTAACAGGAAAAACATCAACACAGTATATAGACAGACACCATGGGTAATGTGACGCAATTTCGTCTGATGTATGATGTAATTTTGTCCACGTTATCAAATATCGCAGAGACAAGCATGACACAGCGGAGTCTGATGTAATTTATGGTACTTTGGCACAGACACTTTGTAGCTTTAGAGCTGAACCAGTTGCAAGCCACTATTCCAGGAATTTCAATCTACATTTAAAAAATCAAGCTTACAGCAGTTAAATGAGAAATGACTTTGGGAATTTTTTTGTCCACCACTTCTTAAAAATGACATCTAATTCAGCTCATTTGTCATTGTTTGGAATAGAAATCCATTTTAAGTGCAGGTACATCACCTTTACAGCATCTTCATGTCATACTGCACTCTAAAATCCTGCTAACTCCATCATACAAAATCTACTATATCTTACCTACTAGGTCGACAGCCTGTTCACAGGAGAACCATATTCCTGTGTGGAACTTTCTCATGAGGAACTTCTCTTCTCCAGTCTCATAGATGTACTGCACCAGGCGCGTATTGTTGATGTCAGAGCTGTTGAAGCGGATGCAGTACGTCTGTTTGACCTTGACTGGTCCTGTGCAGAAAGGCTTGGCCACCTTCCTGGTCCCTTCGCACCAGTAGCTGGTCGTAACGGCTGAGACGGCCAGAGCAAAGGCAGCACAGTTGAGTGTGAAGGCCAGCGTGGCTCTTGGACCTCGCTCTATCCCCATGGTGCCCCAGCCTGACCTGGGGGGTCCTGCCCGGGGAGCCAACTAATTTGGGCTTCTGATAGATGGCTGTGCTCCTCTCTTCAGACATCCGAATCTTTCTAAATGCCTTTTAGCAAGAGTTGCTCGCCGTGGCATGAGCATAACGTACATGGGTGCTGCTGCTTGCATGCACTGGGACAAATAAACAAAAATGCCGGACAAAACCAAGTATTCCGACTGCTGGACTGCCCGATGATCCTTTTGCTGTCCTCATTCTCCGCTTTGCTTTCAGAGTCCCTTGCTCTTATTCCAACCTCCTTTTCCAATCTCTCTCTCTCTCGCTCTCTCTTTGCACATCCTCTTTTCAGACTCCTTCTTACTCACTCCCTCTCTCTCTCTTACTCACTCTCTCTCCCCTTGTGTACCCACCCACCCTCTCTGTCATATTTTACTGTTATCATCACAAAGGGCAAATTACATGCAAGAGCTCAGTTTTATTGCTCCATCTAAACCCGTAGCTTATTTCTGTGAGCATAGTAATATAAAAGATTATCAGTCAGATTACTCTTCAATCTGGTGCAGTGCTCTTGCCAGCATTCATCTGAGGACTTCCATATTACATACCATTGTTCAAACTGCCATTGGGTTCTAATATGATGCCATAATAAAAGGGAATTAGAACAATCTATTGAACATCAAGTAGGGAACCCACACAGTGCATAACATAAGTCTACAGAGAAGCCCTAGAGATTTTGTGTGTGTGTTTGTGTGTGTGCGTGTGTGTCTGTGTTTGGGCATGTGCTAAGCAAATCCCCTCCGCCCAAACTCGATTGCCCAGTGATTGACTTATGTAGGATGTTCCATGCAAATGTAGGCAAACTGCTCTGGGAAATGTGCTTAAGGGGCTGACAGATGTCAGGAGAAAACAGATCTCTGCCCCTTGCTCAAATGGATTTCTCTTTTTTTTTTACATAATTATTCAAGAAAAAAAAACATAATACAAATAGTATTTATTATATTATATATAAAAATTGTATTTATATTTATTTGTTTGATATTATTCATATATATATATATATATATATATATATATATATATATATATATATATAGGAAAAATCACAAAGCAGTAGACCACACAAGCTTACAGAACAAGGCTGGCAAGTGTTGAAGCACGTAACGCATACAAAATCAGGTGTCATTGGTTGCAACACTTGCTACTGAGCTACAGTCTGCCTCTGTAAGCAGTGTCAGCAAGAACTCTTTGACATGAGCTTCATGGATTGAGTTTTCACAGTCAAGCAGCTGCACGCAAACCTTAGATCACCATGCATAATGCCAAGCGTCGGCTGGAGTGCTGTATAGTACACTGCCACTGGAGAATGATGCATGTTAGATGTATGAGTCTGGTTTTGGCGGATGTTTGAAGAATGCTATCTGCCTTAATGCATGGTGCGTACAGACTAGTCGACTAGTTCAGTTGTCGACTTTTACTGCTCGGCAAGGAAGCCTTAAGCTTGATGTCAACTAGTCTCTGCTTACATGATGAATACCTCAGAGAAGACCTCAGGTGTGGAGTCGGGGTCTGTACGTCTGGTTTCAAGAAGGCTACCAACGTGATCCAAGGCTCATTGGAAAGGGTATATCACACTTTACTGAGTCTACTGTGGAGTTTGGCTTCGTTCTAACATTTCTCCACTGATCTACAGTGCTAAATACTGTCACACTGAATGTCATTGTCTCCGGTTTCCCGAACACTACAATAAAAAGTCATGTCATTGGAGAGGTGGCATAATGCGCTATAATCCTGTAAAGTTTGAAGTCAGTTACTCTAATTTTCACCAAGTTTGTGAGATTCCGGGGTCTGTATCTTCGGTTCCCTGAAGCCTAGCAGTGTGATCCAGGGACCAGGGAAAGGGCACATCACGCTCTGCTGACTTGTGAAGTTCATTATGAATTTTTAAAGTCACTTGTTGCAAAGCATTCCTTTCTCCTGTAGTTTTATTATTGACATCAGAGATTAGCCAATGTTGCCTTGACTTTCATTACATAACTGTCCACGTTAAAAAACTTAAGTTATGCAAACCCTAGTGCATACTGTAAAATTTGGTAGAGGCGGAATAACGGCCTGGGACTGTTTTTCATGGTTTGGGCCTCTTAGTTCCAAGAGAAATCTCAGTGCTACAGCATATATTGACCAACTTTAAGGCAACTGATTAAGGACGGACCTTTCCTGTTTAATTGCCCCCGTGCACAAAGCAAGGTCCATAAAGTATTGGTATGCTGAGTTTGGTGTGGAGGAAATTGACTGGCCTGCATGGGGCCCTGACATCACCTCCCCTTCTGATGTTAACCAAAAGAAGGACCCTAGAGCATAATTTACATCATTTCATAATTTACATCATTTGGTCATTTCTTAAATGCATTAAGCAGTGTTAAATGGTGATTAAAAGTAGATGACTAAAATGTGCAAGACTTCAAATAGCATTCATTGTTTAGGGCTGCAAGTCTTCAAGCTTGAGTTCAAGGGAAAAAAAAACGAGCTATATAATATCCTTCAGGCAAGTCGTGCAAACCTCCAAACTGGCAGTTTATGTAAAAGTTATTTCAGATTATACAAGGATTATCGTCCTCTGGAGTCCTCTCCTGCATGCCAAGTGAGTATCGCTGCTTGATGAGGACGTTGACCTTAGTCAGCCACATGGCTTTTGGAAATTATCTACTTCATGCATGCCACAATTTTGCATGAACTGCCCAAGAAAAACTACAGTATACATGTCAAACCATGTTTACAGTTGCCTCATTTTATAATCTAGAATTTTGTTTTTTGGATATTTGTCTTTATTGTGGAAATCATGATGTAATATGTAAGGGTTGCTTTCATGTAATCAAAAGTGTCAAGATTTAGACCAGGTAATAAAAGTAGTTAAATTACTACCAATTTATATCTAATGTAATCAGCAAATGAAATTAGATGTTTATGTGTACTAAGATCATCTTGTGCAGTGATGATACACGTCATTTTAAATGCCTGTACTTGTCAGCACTGTATTTGATTTTGTTTCTGGTAACTGAGTGGTAACTTTGTGTGGCAAAGCCTTTAGTTGCAGTTGCACTGCTGGTTTCATGACAGCTTGCAAAGTAATCCAACAGTGGCCTTTCTACAGAAAAGGCCAGGATCCAAAAGCATAACCATGGATTTAAATGACAAGGGGGTTCCCAGGTTGATTGTATTTTAGCTGTCTGGGATGTTGTACTGAGAGGTAGCCATACTTGCCTGGAAAAACATGTTAAAACTAGAAAATCTCCTTACGTAATCTTTACCTGCTGCATTTTCCCATGTAAAGAATAAATTGTTTCTTGTTTAAGCTCTGGACCGCATTCCAACTGCATGTTGCAAGATGAAGGATTTAAAAACTTTATGTATCTGATGATGTAAGATGAGAAATGAACTTGTATTGTCTATGTAACATCCAGTTCCTTCATTTATGAACTTTGAGACCAAATGTCATGAGTGATTAGTATCCCCATCCATATGAATATTTTTTCAGCAAATGACAAAAAATGACATTGTAATTTGCTTGTTTATTTGCTAATGTTGTTTCTCAAACAAATTGATGTCCTCAAGGCATGCCACGCAATTGTGTACGTATCTACATGAGGGGATCCATAAAAACAGCTTTGATTCAGGCTTGGATGAGTATTCAGGTGCATCATGCAATATGAAGTGTGGAATCATTTAGTTATTTCATAATTTAATCAGACTTTATTGTTAGCTTAAAACTGTCAACAGTGCTAGGAGTGTGCCTACAAAACACGGAACACAGTTAAAGGAATCTTACATGGTTGGGTATTTCTCTGAAGACATGGCATAGTGAAAGATGCTGGTACTACTAATATGTTACTGTGGTACTACCCTTGAATGAGGCAAATGCTAAGTTACCAATACAATGCTAACTAAGCTTCCTGATGCTTACAGTCAAGAGCAAGCATGACTTCAGAATTGCTGAGTGTGTGTCAAAGTGTGGTCATTGTTGAAGCACACTCATCCTTGGTCCTGCTTCTAGTCTGAATTTGGGAGAGCATGTCTAACTTCTCCTAACAGATGACTGCAAGAAATTATAATATTAAATATCATTAGTAATTAATCATGGATGAAAGACATTTTATGGTGACCTGCATCTGACATGACAGTTTGATTTGCTGTGACAATCATATAAACGTGTCCAGCGTCAGACATTAGCCTCCTTCCTCACTGACGCCAAGGCACTTGAACCCGATAAGAAGAGTTAAGAAGGCAGGTATTAGATCAGCCTTCAGCTAGATGTGATTACATACTCAATTACAAAGGCTGTGTAAATGACTGCAAAACAATAAACATCAATTATATTGTAGTAGGTCAAGGTGACTGAATTTAAAATACAACTATGAATATGTTTTGCCCCTCATCCAAGGGCCTTCATCAGTTCAAATGATCATAAGTGATATTCTTTTTCCAAAGAATAATGTACATGAATGTACAAGGACTGAATAGGGGCCATCATGGATAATGAAACATGTTAATCTAATAGTTAAAATTGCATTTAATAATAAGGAAATTAATTTGAAGTATATATATAAGTTAATTAGTGAAAAAAACAAAAAAAACCAAAAAAAAAACCATGAAACTAACACTGAGTTTCCTTTTCCCGATCTGCCAGATTTGTCAGCTTTAAGATGGTTAACAGGGTGACATGCCCCTCTCTCACGTGAAGGCAACATTAATAGCTACTCTGCACTAATGAGGTGAGTGGGATGACAAGCTCAGCCAGCCACGTGTAGGATCAGTATTACTGCACCACAGAACGCCACAGGTGATTACCCAAAGCCAAGCAAAGGACAAACCTGTTGATTGTTCATGGCTCCACATTGTTTCACAAGACCATTGTTTCACTCCTTATCAACTATATGGCCAAAAGTATGTGGACGCCCCTTATAATTACTGAGTTCAAGTGTTTCAGTTATACCTGTTGCTAACAGGT